GTACGGTCTATCTATAGTTTGTAGTTTTCACAGTTTTCCCAGAATGCACCACCGTGAAGCCGAGCATGCGTATTCCAGGAATTTGGACTAACGTAGTTGCTAGCGCTCGAGACCGGAGGGGCATGGCGCCCTCTTTTTTTTCCAGACGTAACATCATACTATAGAAATTGTTCGTTGAAAATCCCCAACTTTTTGTTACAGTGTATAAGGGTATTGTGACCTATATTTGAATAATCCCATCCATCCCATACGAAATTAGATTTTCGAGTTTGGACATTTCCTTAAAAATGAAATATTGCACATATATTTTAAGTCGATCGGTAACAATGTACAAGAAAATACTAAGCATTCTATTCCTTATCTATTCATTTTACCAGTTCATTTAAGGTGTTTCCAAGGCATGTCTTCAAATTCACAAACTAATGGAGGCTTAATTGGGAAAGGGGCATCCCTTTTTGTCGTGAGAAAATGTTTTAATGTTAATTCAATTATATTTTGGACTATTGAATTATAAATGATATTACACTGTAGTTTAAAAGCACGGCTTTCATTTTATCATTTTTTTTTAAAGAAAACTCTTTAATTTCAGACAACATGCAAAAAACACGTAGATAAAAATATTTTGAAAGGTTTATTTTATAAAACTAGAGCAAAAACCTAGCACAATACGCCCTAGTCATTTCCTTATAAAAGCAACACGATTCATCCCGAAAAATAAATATATACGTACATGCATGTAGGTTGCAAATTATTGACAAGGGTACAACAGCTGACCCAAAATAAAAAAAGTCATGTTCAACAACAGAAATATATATGTTAACGTATTATAAAGATTGCAATGGCACACATCATCATGATAATATTAAAGAGGTTACAGTTGAATTATTAAAATTAAGAAAAATGGAAAAACGATAATTTGTTCTATCTATACTGCAGTGAATTCAATTTTCCCCATAACTCTTTTTATATATAAAAAAATTACATGTACAAATCTAAGAACATGTATATGGGATGTGAAAATACTGAGAGATCCCTAAAATTTAACAATTACTTTTTTTCTTTTACAAAAATTTGCTATTATCCGGGAATATTATTTGTGAAAATTCTTCAAACTTTTCAGCAAATTTCTAAAACGAGATATTTTGATTATGTTTAAAGAGGGTACACTGCTAAATAAAAAAAGAGAATATGCATTACATGTATATTTGTTTTTTACTCTCAAAACATTAAAGTACACTTCTTAAGGCTTTTCCATCCTCCTGTGATGCCATAGTTTTTGCAAAAACTTTTATTAATTTCAATTCATTCCAACTAGAACAATATCTTTTAGAAGAATGCTTTTCATTCAGTGTAATGATAAATATTGTTAAGTAAAAGAATTCTAAAAATGTATATTTTCTTTTTTTAAATCAATTAATATTCAATCTTTAAAAAATGTTGACAAGGACAAGAACTTCTTTCTCAGGTATTATCATTTTCTGTTTTAATTGTTTTGTAAAATATTTTCTCTGATGTTCACAATTCAAAGGCATCTTTTAAGTAGCAAGTATTTTAGAGTTTTCAGCATCAGAATTATGATTTTGAACCCGTTTTAACTTAATTTTTGATATAATTTACATTAGCTGTGTTTTTCTAGTAAGCCAATATTGAAACTGATTTTAATACCATTTTCGTGTATACTCACGAGTAGAAATATGTACGGAGCTAACGTGACGTCACAATGAGGCTACAGCGATACAACGATAGAGGGCATCGAGAAATTCAAATATTACAAAGGCGGATCCGGGCCGGCGCGCCTGGTGTGCCCCCCTCCCCCGTTTGAAATTTTTGTATGTAAAATCTATATGTCCATTATCCTAAAATCAAGGGAAAACATAAAAACAACTCTTATTTGTAAAACTTTTCAGCTTCCCCCGGACCCCCTAAAAGACCGTGCTGTAGACCAACTTAGGACTTCAGTACAGCAGACAGACCCCCTGTCTTCTACTGCGCCCTCCCGTTACGAAATTCCAGGATCCGCCTCTGTGTTGAGTATTTTTGGTGCCTTTACACATTTTAAATACATGTATAAATATAAGGAATGTTTTGAAGTTTACTGTGAATTATTGGTGTGTGAATCACACAGACGTGCACGTAGGCATATTTTTCATGAAATATGCCTACGTGACAAGTCCGTGTGATTCACACACCAATAACTCAAACAAAACTTAAAAACATTTCATAAATAAAATGTACTGTTTACAAAAAATGTAAAATGTTTTGTGTTGATAAATACTCCTATTTATTTATGTCTCCTATCTTAAATAATATGGCGACCTATATATTTTTTGCAAGTTAAACCATATGAAATAAAAAGAAACGCAGTGAACCATTAAAATTGTGAGGGTGGAAAGATACTTTAGTATTTGAAAGTATTATAATATAATATGCTTTAAAAAAAGAAACTTTAGCACATAAAACTTTTTTTTTTCAAATGAAATTTCGATATTAATTTTAATATGCTAAATGATAAGCCTAAAGTGGAGATGTAATTGACAAAGTTCAGAGCAGCACTGTGTGAAGTAATTAAATCTAAAAATAATGTTTCCAATCATGGGTCACCTATTTTCCTTTTTTATTCAGTTAAGAATTTACAAGAAATCTTTTTTAGCATGTTTCATGGTGACAAAGTCTTGTTGAGGTTAGGATAAACCTAGATATTTTTTCTTAGTGAAATGTAGTTAACTCAACTCTCTTTTCATTTTATTAATAGCTGGGATCCTGGGGAGGAATGAATTTTAAAAGTCTAATCTGGTTGTTACAGGAGTTTTTTTTCAATCAACACATACACTAACATCTAAAAATATCTTTATTTTAATATTTGAATTTATAGTATGATAAAATAATAATTTTTTTAAATGGGTAGGGGTATTTTCAAAATATAAAAAATAAATCAAAGTAAAATTGAAAAAAAAAACTTTTTACTACTAATTTAAAAATTGTCTCAAAATCCCCAACACAGGTAAAGTTTGACATCTGAGTATTTCACTGTGTATTAATAGCAATGCCAGCGGTATAGGTGGCGCTGCGCGCGCATAATTTTGTAAACACAAGGAATTTCGACCCCGATGCACATCATGTTATATTACGCATCTTGACACCTTCCCTGCCTTCTCCGATGTTTTGATTGGTGGATATTCTGAAAGTTATGACCTTGAACTAAGTGTATAACAACATTTTACCGGGAAAATCTCATGAGGCATTGTTAGTAAGCGCAATTGAATTTTTGTCAACTGCCCTTTTCAGCTTTAACGATCGAGTACGCGAAAAAAGGGGTGATATTCCACAAGTTTATTGTATAAACTACAGATATCAAAAGATTTCATTCAAGTATGCCCACGTAATATACTTGAAAACATTCGATAATCTCATGTACCCTTAACCGGAAGTTGGGTCAGAGGAAATTCGTTTGTAAATCTTCGTGGCAAAATTAGACTCGTCAATGAAGTTTAAAACCCCAAACAATGTGTAGAAAGTATTGCAATGTATATTTTGCTGTATTAAACATGTGAAGACATATTTTTAATATTATCTGTAAGAAAAATCACGACTGTCAGTGCTAAGAAAGACCGTCAGTACCACTAAAGAAATACAATATACACTATGCAAATAATAAGGCTATATATGAAAGTAATCTCTCTGAAAACTTTAAAAATAAGTTGATCATCTAAAAATTCTCTAACATAATTCCTAGATACGAGTGATGTAACTATGTGCACATTGTCATAAGTAATTCCATGTATTTGTATTTGTATGTTATGTACGTATTTATAAAACTAAATAATGTTACAGTACAAGAATTTTTAGACCAAAAATTTTGAAATGCTTTAAAAGATGGCACTTAGTGACTTACTTACTGATAGTTTATTTTTTTGTAAGTTTTCATTAAAAATTCTGTTCAGAATTCTTTGAAACTAGTAGTTCTTTGAAACATAGTGGATACAGTTTTCTTAATTTTCATTCTTTCTGAGTGATTGCATTTGATCATTTTGTTTCAATTTTCAGCATAGATTCATTTAAATAACAACACCATTTTATTTTATAAATGACTTGGAATTGCTCAGTAATCTCATATGGTGTATGAATAGGGGGTGTTAGCTATAAGCTGGTATGCTAAACAGTTTTTAACTTGGAGAAAAAGCTTAAAATTTCGAATTTTGGTATGTTGATTTTCAACGTTGTTTCAGCTTCGGAGTACTGGGGTGGTGTTTTTGGTTAATAAACTTTTTTTCTGTTCCTTGTTATTCAAATATTAAGTAACTGCAACATTTATTGCTTTAAAAATCTTCTCAATTTTATCACCTTTTAATTGAGAAGGGAAAAAACCCTATAAATCAACTCATACACTAAATGTAATTAATACAACTATGTCATGCTCATATGCCACAAGTAGAATAGATTTCATGGATATAAAGGCACATTCTATACATTGATCATGTTGAAATACAACACAAAACTTATTAATACTGTGAAAAAGTAGCTGAAATTTTAAATACGATTTTAAGCTTAAATTTGGTTTCTTTTTGTTTTACACTTTATTGAAATCATCCTATTTATCATGGTATTGACTGTCCCATAATTGATGAGTAATTTTCATTTTTTGTCTTAATTATTAGTAGAGACATATATCTTTCACCTAGAAGTCATAAAATGTAGAAATTTGATTTTTTTAATGGTCAGCTGGAGTGGGGTTGTGTTTTGCTGGTTTTTGTAATTTATCTGTTTTTCATATTTCACAGGGGTGCCGTACTAAAACGTCTGTCATTTTGTTAAAAATTGTTGTATCAAGTTAATTTTTTCTGTTTTGACTTTTAAATAGGCTGTTGGAAGCACCCACAACAAAAAAAAATTAAAATTTTCATTTTAAAATTTTTGTCTGGCATTGCTAGTATTAAATCACTTCCTGTGGAGGGATTAGGAGACAGATGGCAACAGGTAGACTGCTAGCCCCCAAACATTCACACCTGTACAAAATAAGCCCCTCCCTCACCTGGAATTTACCACCCGGTAAAAAATCTCTGCCTTTAAAAGATTTTATTATGTACAGGTAAGAGCTTCTACGTATGGCTACATGTACTAGTAACAACTATATAATTATGGGACTAATACATGTACATCCATGTCTCCAGTATTGTTTAGCAGGTTTTACTGTAGATTAATTAGAAAAAATGGATATATCATGTTCATGCATTTGTATTATTCAAAGAAGGAGACATGATTCAATTTTGTCGCTGTACATTGTAAGTTGTTCTCTTTTGATACTTTCGGTTTTAAACACGTAGTGTGGAATGTCAATAATATTAGGGGTTTTTATCTCTGGAATCTGCATAACGACTGCCCTGACTATCAACGCTTTTAATTTACAAAAAAAAAGTCAATGACAGTGCAAACAATGGTACAAGTTAAAACCTAAATGAAAGAGGCTGAAATTGCTCTCCAGATAATGCACAAAGACAAATTAATTTTTTCCCTGAATTTTTAACATCCAATTAAATGAGAAACAAAAGTAGAAAAGCATTATTTGAAGAAGCATAGCAACAACTGAAAACGAAAAGCATGCAAATATAAAGTATGAATATCCATATACCAATCGATAAGTAATTACCGGTATATATTCTTTGAATTTTAAAATGAAAACCTTTAAGTTAATGATTTTTGGTAGAGCAGACTGCAGCATGTTTTGATAATTATGATTTCTCAGTTTGTTTAAGTTTCCACATCTTTTCAGATTCTTCGCAGATACATTTCGATATCCTTTGATAACGTCACAATTTTACGACAATATCAGACTGTTTTCTGATAACGTCAAAATCTTTTACGACAATACTGTATTGTTTTCAGATGTCGCTTGTAGGATGACAAATCAAACGCCAGGACCAGACCGACGAACATACAAACAAAGACGATCCCAACTGTGCCCCCGACCTGACTGGCCGAAGGTCGAGTGTCCACTGCGCTGGTCTTGGTGGCCTGGTAGGACGATAACTGCGTCTTATCCTCCTGGAGAGCTTTCTTGGTCGCCTCCAGCTGAGGGAGTAACGCCTGGTATATTTCGACCAATGTCTTGTTAGCATATTCGTCGCTTTTATTATTCCAGTAGTCGATTTTGTCCATGTATTCACAATCACAAGGGCAACTTCCATTTCCAGCTTCAAACAAAAAAAAAAAAAAGGTTTAGATAATGAAGAGTAAGGTTATTTTTCTTCATTTTTACTTTGTACATGTATAAAAATTTCTTGTCAAAATTAACTCATATTTTGGAATTCTACTGTATTTTCAATTTCCGTATCATTTGTCAAGGATAGTTAGCGCCATTTTTAACTTTTTAAATATAGGTAATAAATAAAAAGTTAACAACGGAAAGAAGACAGAACAACATGAGAAATAATTGCAGAGGTATATGCTATTGTTAATTCAATATCTTTACAGTCGCATTTAAATTGCATTATCCAAACTGAAATAAAATTATTCACTGATACTGATATAAAATACTACTAGTAAATTATTTCCCCAAATCATAAAGACCCAAAACATAACTTGTTTTGAAGTGCAATAATCATTTACAATGTAATATTGAATTAATCTATTTTTTTTTAACTTTTAGCGACAACAGATTTCCTTATTATCAGTTTTACCGGATTTGATGAATTGTGCATTACCACCACGATAAAAAGTTTGTTATCGATTTTTATACAGTAATTTGAAAATTTCAATGTAAAACCAAAAATATCAATAACCGCAGAGGAGAGGAACAGCTTAATGCGCCATTAGAAAGCTTTTTGTGAAATTCTCTATGTTTGAAAATTCAATACAATGTACAAAGCAGGAAAGAACACGCTTTTATGTAGTCATTTTATTTGTCGTTTTGCTTGAAAACGTTTTTGGTGTTAATGTTATTATTGTGTTAAAAGAAAATACCAATAAAAAATCTTTCCTTTCTTAAAAAAAAACCCAGCGAAATCAGTTGTATTTGGTAATGAATAAATAAATATATATAACGACTTCTCAAACAATATTGTACTAATGATAAAGAAATTAATTTAAAGGAATTGTTTCACGAAATTCTTACCTGCCTCGGCCTTTGTGAGTAAGGGATGAAAAATGAGAACACAGAATAACAGAAAAAGTAAACGCTTTAGATGTTCCATTGTAAACAGCAACCGAAATGAACATCTACCTCATCCACCGAACTGTACCCAAGAAACAACATTGAAAAAATTAAAATCGACATCGATTTTCAGCATCCACATCGGGACTTGACTGCATGGTAATGAGGTAGTCCAGAAGCCTAAGTACTTTCATTAATGATTAAGTGGTTCTATTGATCAGAGTGAAGTGTACAATTGATTTGGGGCGTAATCAATGAGACGTATAAATTGGTTAATTCCATGCTATTATTATAAATCTGAAGATGATGGACCTTCATATAGGCGAATTGAAAGTGGGGTGGTTAATTGAAAGTTGGTGGGGGGGGATGGTTGACTATATCAACAAAAAAAGGTAAACCCCAATTTTCAATGCCTATCTTTGCAAAAAGAGGGGGGCTAAGCCCCCCCCTTCCCTCGAGCCCCCCCCCGGGTCCGAGGCCTATGCTACATGTTCAGTACACTGTAATAAACGACTGGACATAAGCTTATGTACTTCGAAAATACAGGAATCAAATAGCTCTTAATATTTCCTGTGTTTAATGCAGTTTCAAGCTTGTTTAAAGTATTATAGTTTCTGGCTCCTGTTTGTATGGAATTTAATCGCTGTTTTGAATCGAACTTGGTTAAGCATTATAAAATGTAAAATTATGGAAGAACTTAAGTATGCAGCGGAATTTTTGAAATAGAGATTCAGACAAAAATCTGCTCAAAAGCTTAGAATCGAACCTCCTTAAATATTTTGTTGTTAAATAGGTTATTGTATACATAATTTAATTAGCATATACGCATATATCTTACCGGAGTGCACAAATCTTGATTATTCATCTTAAATCAATCTAAAACTTGCAGTTGTCCAACAACAGACCTTCATGCCGATGCTTCATAAAGATGCTATTTAAAAAGATTAAACAATAGAGTTCAAAGGAAACAATCTCCGTTATACTACAAGATGCAATCTGATAGATTGTATCCTAAAGCTCTTTAAGAGAGTGTAGAAATGGTATAACTGAAAGTTTAAAAAAAAAATTATACTGAAGATAAAAAGCCTTGAAATCGATCACATAGCTTTCTCGTTAATAAACTATATATTCAAAGTCGCCTAGAATGAAATATTTCTTTTTTGAACAAATTACAATGTTGGAACATACTAGTAATTATCGATTATACCGAAATTTTCAATAAAAAAAAGAAACGTAATCATAGTAGTGTGCATTTTTTAATCAAATGAAAATTTCGGTAAAAATTGACAGCCATCTCTTCTAGTTTTGTAATTGTTCTATTTTTTAATTCCCCGCAATTTTTAAAATTTTAAAATTAGGTGTGTAATGTCCTGTTTATAAATTTGTATGGTTTGTAAATTTTTAGAGCTCGGCCACTGTACGTTACATTTACCTTTTATATGTATATACAATACTGATCAGACCCAACCTGTTACCCAAGCAGTCCCAAAAATCAGTCCCCACTGCTTTGAGACCGCTGTGGGACTTGAGTAGTCCAAGGAAGCAGTCCCCGGGACTGCCCTGGCTGTGACTGCTTTGTATCAGGTTGGGTACTGTAACCTCTTAAAGTGAATTTATAAGTAATGTTTGCATAAGCCAGTAATGAGGCATGTAAAAAATTCAATCAAAAAATAAAAAACCAGAGGCCTATGGGCCACATCTCTTACCTGAGTAGCTTTGACCATGCTGTTCTTTACCAGATTTCCCAATTGTAATACCTATTGTAACCCCACCATAACCCACGGGTCATAATTTGGTCAGTTTAAAATACACTATACCCCAGGATGCTTCCACATAAGTTTTCAGCTTTTCTGACCCAGAGATTTTTGAAAGGAAGATTTTAAAAGTTATTTTTTTCTATATTTTTCAAAGTAAAAATTTGATTCTATATTGTGGCCCCGCCCTTACCCCGGGGATCATAATTTGAACAATGCAGAATCTACACTACCTCAGG